TCTCTTAGAAATAGAAATGATCACTTACCATGGTAGTGGGGTCTCTATCAGCTTGATTTCGTTCAAAAGAATGTATTTTATGGGCACTCATTTCATCAGTATCGGCAATGATATAATGTCTAGGGGAGTAAGCATTGGACAGGTTCTCAAGCAGCCTCAGGATCTCAGTGGTGTGCCCACCTGGAAAAAATATTGGAAAGCCTAAGATTAAGAAACCCACAGTGTAGTTACCAGAGGGGAGGTGGGTGAGGGGATGGGTGAAATAGGTGATGGGGATTAAGGAGGGCACTTGTCACGAGCACCCCGTGTTGTATGGAAGTATTCAATCACTACATTGTATACCTGAAACTAATACTACACTATGTTAACTACCTGGAATTTAAATAAAAACTTAAAAAAAGAAACTCCCAATGGACATACCTATTTGGCTATGTTATACTAATGTTATGTTTTATGTATTTCTCAATAGGTGAAAGCAACATTTGGAAATAATAATCTACGCCCTTGTAGAAACACTACTTTCATATGGGGGAAGAGGACATTAACTGTATAAAAATAAAACTGACACTAGCAGTAGGTGCTAAGGAGCACAAAGAAGTAGAAGACACAACTCCTATTATCAAGAAGGCTGGTAGGAGAGGGGAAAGACACACAGACATTTAAAGAGTAATGCAAGAAGACAACATGCGAAATTTAAATTGGGGCAGAGGTGAGGAAAGCAAATAGTTATGAAAGACCAGCTCTGTAAGAGGAAGGGAGATCCCTGGTAAAGGCTGAGAGGACTTGAAAGGTGAAGCTAATGGATGGATAGGAGTAGGGAGGCCACTGGCCAGGAGTGGGATTATTGGGACATGAGATGGTTAAGAGCTGAGATGTGTGTTCAAGGACTGGTGGAATACTGTGAAGGAGGACGAGGGTGAAATCAGATCAGGAAAGTAGTCTGGAAAATGCAAAGATGGTCACCGGGTCACTGAAGGTTACTGTGCTGAGAAGTAATGTCAAGGAGGCATGAGCACTGACCCTCAGGGCTTGGGGCTTCCTAAGGAAGACTTCCGCTCAGGAATGTAACCCCAGCTCCTAAGAGAGGTCTCAGCAAACTACAGGTCGTCAAATATGTAGCAGCTTCACCAAACAACTGTTCGATTTTTGAAATTGTACAATCTCCAAAATTTTAATACTTTACTTTCAAAACCGTGAATTTAAAAATCGACTGTGTACACTGAGGTTTCCTTTGGAAGAAAAAAACCCCAAAAGAACATCAACCGCTCATGTTAACGATATAGCATTTAAGCAAAGCAATCAAACTCCTTCTCAATGAGCCCTATCATACCCATTTCGTTTCACTTCACACTCTCTCAGCCTCAGCCAGGTTGATGTCCTGAACATTCTCTGTATTCATCTTATTTGTTACCTCCTCCTTGCCTCTGGTCAGTGTCCCTCCCACCTACTAAACTCTCCCCCACCGCTACTGTTGTAAGAAAGCACTTTCAGTAGTGACACAGTGAACATACAGAAGGATAATCAAACAAATTAAGTGTGTGGTTTCTCCCAATGCACATATTTTCTTATAGTAGAACGGGAAGGATTACTCTCTAGGTTCCAGAAGGAATTAAATACAGAAATAAAATTGGCATAGATTACATGTGAGGAGGAATTAGAATCATACTTTATAACTTGTAACCCATCTTCTTGTCTGGGGCATGCAATTTACACATCTGATTTATACTAATTTTAGTATTTTTGTTTTTAGCCTTGAGAAAATGTGGTTTGCAAAGTAGGTACTTGTTTTCACAGCTGGACCAATTAAGGATAAAAAGGATAATATCCACATTTTCCACTGCAATTAAAACTTCATTATACCTGCTCTAACAGTCTTTTCTTTTTTTAAAAGGAAACATTTACTGAATACATTTTTTGATGATTTAACCTTGTCACTGAATAAAGTCATTAAAATGATGGGCTTTGTCTTCCATTTTACTCTTAATAACTATTAAGATATATTCTTTGGGAACAAAATCATCTCAGTTTTACCTTAGAATATTTCCAGAATCCAACCTCTTCCCCCATCTCCTTTCTACTACCCTGCTCCAGGCCACAACACTCTCACATCAGTTATGACCACGGATTCCTGGTCTGCTCCTCCTTCGTTTGTCTATTCAAATGTCTACATTAGTCTGTTCTCAACACAGCATCCAGTGTGATTCTGTTAAGAGAGTTGATGAGTTTACCTCTGCTCAAAACTCTCCAGTGGCTTCCCTTCTCACATGCAATAAAAGGCATCTTGTATTTGACCCCTTAATTTATTACCTCATGGAGCTCATCTGCTTCTACCTGACTTAAGTCTACTCCCGCCACTCTGGCCTCCTTGCTGTTGGGTATCCGTCATCTCCCCAGGGAGGCTTTTCCTTACAATTCTGTGTAAAATGCAACCTCCTGTCCCTACGTCATAATATTTATGACCATACAATTTAATATGTAATCTAGTTATTTCTTTTTTCTCTCCGCTAACCCTTGCTCCACTAGAAGGTAAGCATGATGATGGCAGGGACTTCTGCTAATTTTGTTACTGCTGATCTTCAGTGCCTTGAAAAAAGTAGGCATTCCTATTACTGAATGAGAGGGTAGATGAGCATATGGTATTAAATCTAAAATTTGCCTAAGGAAATCATATGATATTTCAAAGAAAAGTACTAATTTTGATTGATGTTCTTTGAAAATATGTGGTTGATTAATAATATTTTATGGAATCTAAAGACCAGACATTTTTTGGTATTCAAGGTAAACACTTGAAAATATCTTCCCCCTCCTCCAAAATTCTGGGCATGAACTATTAAACTATTTGTCTGATTATAAGTCTTTCTTTGACTTTGATGATTCTTAGAGGTCTCTGACCTCTCCCTACTCTGAATGGTTTGAATGACAAAGGCGCCACTTGTCAGACTAATTCTCAATCTTAATTTTGGTTCCCAGTCCACCAAATCTAATACTGTCAAGTAAATAGCTCTAACATCCATTTACCCATTTGTTCGAGACAGAAACATGAGTCCCAAGCCTTTCCTTCCCTCACCTCCCACTTTCAAACCACAAGTTCCTACTTGTCTCCCTACCTCAGTCTTTGTCAAAACATTCTCTTGACAGTGCAGGCTGAATCATCTCTGTAAAAGCTTAGATTTAATTGAGTCACACTCTACTCATAAGTATTTTAAAAGATCCTTTGCTACCAGGACTAACAGCAATCACCATTTATTAAATGCTTATCATATGCCAAGCACTCTGCTAAACACTTTTAATACTGCATTTAATCTCTCCTCACCTCATCCCATATTTTTCAAGGTTGAAACAGTTCAGTGAGGTTAACTAATTTGCCCAAGGTCACCAAGTTAGTAAGTGGCAGAGATGTGATTCAGCTCCAGGATTATGTCAGTCTAGAGCCTGTGGTCCTAACCCTTACATGGTATGAAGCAGTGGAGTAGTGCCAATAGCTTTATAGAGCATGGTTTACAATGCCCTTTGGGATCTAGACTGGGCTTACAGCTCCACATGGAACTCAAAGCCACAATGCCCTCCTACCTCTGGGCATTCCAAGTGCTATCAACTTCTTTTCACATCCTTCTAGTCTGCAAAATCTCTTTGGTTGATTCCTAGTCATCTTAAAATTCTCAGTTTAGACATCACTTCTTCCAGGAACTTTCCTGTCTCAAGCTCAGATAAAATGGTGTCCTTCCTGAAGACTTCCATAGCAGTCTATACTTCTCAGATTATAGGAAGTATCCATTTTGTTTTGTTTCGTTTTTTCCCTGTTAGTTTTTCTGTCATTTCCTTTTCATTCACCGCTGTATCCTTGTACCTTTCACACTGCTTCACTACCTAATCACCATTCCGTGGCAAGTAGTAGTAGTCGGTTTTGTTATTTCTAGAGTCTAGCATAGTGTCTGACGTCTCAATGGCTCAACATATGTTAAGTGAATAAAGTAATGAATTGTATTTGAGCATAAGTTTAGAACATTTGCTAATAATATAAATATTATTCTAACTGTATACAATTTCCTAGCATTTCTAAATCTACACAATAGTTCTATCTCTGTCAGAACTTATCCATTTAAAATTGTGAGGGCCTGGGGTGCCTGGGTGGCTCAGTGGGTTAAAGCCTCTGCTTTCTGCTCAGGTCATGATCTCAGGGTCCTGGGATAGAGCCCCGCACTGGCATCGGGCTCTGGGCTCAGAGGGAGCCTGCTTCCCCCGCCTCTCTCTGCCTGCCTCTCTGCCTACTTGTGATCACTGTCTGTCAAAAAAAAGAAAAAAAAAATCTATAAAATTGTGAGGGCCTGCAGAGCTGGTAGACTCTTAAACTGTATTACCTGATAGGGCAGCTTGCTGTTCGCATGCTGACACAATATTCTCAAACGTGTATTGTTCTATGGTCAGTAGATAATTGTTTCTAACCTCATGGATTTGTATATTTATAAATGTGACAATTCACTCTGCCTCATTTATCATGTAGTATTCATGTTTCCTAAACTAAACACAAAATGCCTAGGTTAATAATGCAAAATGGCAATTTCTACTCAGGAAAATAGTAAGTTAGCATCATAAGGCTTCTGCGTCCTCTCTGCTCATTAGTAATGTGTTAAAATAACATACGCTACGTGGAAGCTTAATTACAGACAAGTGTAAGTTACTCATTTGTCGGTAAAAGATGCCCGGGCCGCGTCAGCAAACCAGAATTTTGCCCGGCTGGGAGGACCGGTTCCGGTTAACATAAGGGAACTACAAATCTCAGCATGCAATGCTCCAAAAAGTGCTAAGGAGACTAGATAGGAGCGTCGCGGTGTACTCTGGGGTTTGTAGTGATCGACCCAGGAGCGACTCGACAGTCACCGCCCAATACTTACCGGACCCAGCCACCACCAAGAGACTGCAAGACTGACGGGGCCCCAGGACCCGAGAATGGAGCACAACCCACAGCCGCAGTGCCAGCAGCGCGGCCACCGCAGCTCCAGCCGCTACTAGGATAAGGAAGCTAGCCATGCAAAGAAACGACGCATGCGTACTATCTCCCGGCGCCGCCGCTCAGAAGCGGTCAAAGTTCAAGAAGTGCTGACGCGCCGGAGGCGCAAACGGGGCGTGTCGGCCTCATGATGGGCAGGGCTTGTCTGCACTGGGCGGAGTTCATGGAGAGAGGCGGAAGTGCTGGCTCTGGGGACTTTGGTGGCTTCTCTACAGTCTTCCACGCGGCTGTCTCCCAAGCATAAACTGATATTCGGCGAGTTAAACGCAAGAGAAGTGTGATTTCCATCCGTGACGAGGTCAGGACACCTGTGCACCCTAAAGGCTCCGGAGCTCTCAAGTTAGGAGGTGTTCTCGCGCCACTAACTTTGTGAATTCCACCTGAGGCCAGCAGCATACATTGCCTTTTTCCTTCCCTTCTTCCTTCCTTTCCTCCTTCTTTCCTGCCTTTCTTCCTTTCTTCCTTCTTTCCTTCCTTTTCGTCCTTTTTCTTTTCTTTTCTTTCTTTCTTTCTTTCTTTTTAAACGCCAAGGGAAAAGTTTCTGTTGCAACACGCAGACATTACTGTGCTTGCCAGTAAAAGTTACTTCAGTGCAAAAAAGTAAATTTAGGGCCTTCATCAGAATCTCTTTCTGGATACTCGTATTTTTAACTTTTCTAGGCATTTTCACAGATCTGTGTGATCAGAGTGGCCAAGGGTGATCACCTCCAATTCTGCCATGATCCTGAGAGGAGTGGAAGCTCAGTGACTCAAGGTAGCAGAATAGAGAAGGCAGCGTCCAACAATTATTACTCAGTTAATTTTACCACAAAGCCAACACCTCCCGTAATCCCAATTTTGCTTTGTTGTTGTTGTTGCCTGTGTAATCCGTATTGCAGCAATATAAGAATACTGAGATTACAGAAGTCCCCTCACCCCAAGTATAATTTGCCATTAGTGCCATAGACACTGTAGATTGGACAGGGCAAGTACACAGATGAATAAACAGGTCCTGAAAGATAAAACAGTTTGCTCAAGTGAAATATTACATAGGAATATCACGGTATTCCATTTCTAAATTTCAGGCTTAGTTGATTATCACACTTGCCTAGAGCCTAGAAGTGTCTTTTAAAATGCAGTCTCTTGGGACGCCTGGGTGGCTCAGTTGGTTAAGCAGCTGCCTTCGACTCAGGTCATGATCCCAGGGTCCTGGGATCGAGTCCCACATCGGGCTCCTTGCTTATCAGGGAGCCTGCTTCTCCCTCTGCCTCTGCCTGCCATTCTGTCTGCCTGTGCTTGCTCTCTCTCCCTCTCTCTCTCTCTGACAAATAAAATCTTTAAAAATAAAATAAAATAAAATGCAGTCTTTCAGGAGAGACCTGGGATCAGGTTATCTAACCAGTGTGTCAATGTCTACCAGCAGTCAGGGAAACATTTAGGATTTGGTAGCATCATTTTCTGGCTGATGGATTTCATAGCGCTTCCCATATTCAGTCTTCCAATCAAATCCTCTTAACCCTACACCCTCACAATAAGGCCAAAAGGTGAATATTACTTACCTCTTTAAGGACAAAGACAGGGATTCTATAAAAGTGAAATAGTTTGCCTAAGATTTTTCAGCGAGGAAGTGGTGGAGAAAGTTTATAGTTGCATGCTTATAAGTTAGTGCCTCAAATTTTGATGAAATCAGAATCCCCTGGGCTTATCAATACATAGTTCAAAGTCCAGAGGTAGGGCCTCTGGCACAGTGTAAAAAAACAACTTAAGTATATTACAAAGGATGTAGTTTTCTTTCATCTGCCCACTCTGCCATTCCCAGCAATGGCTTTAACCTAAGAATCTCCCCTCATACTTCAAAGAAGATGTTAGTGCCTCAGAAATTACATCCAGATGGGGAAATTTCCAGAGCCAAAAAAAGACATTATCTTGTCGTTGGGTCTTTCTTTTTAAGGGTGAGGAAACTTTTTCCTGAACTCGTCACAGACTTTCTTTCACACCCTCTGGCCATATTTATATCACTTACTAACTCATAAAAGCTGGCTGGCATAGGGTGGAGCATGGCATATAGCTACATGTTGTATCTGGCTATTTGATGAGGGTGGGTACTGAACACAATGGTCTCTTGGAGAGAAGGAAGTTGGAGAGGATGGTAGAGGAGAGATGATTGTTGGTTAGGCAAATAATAGCGTTTGGATTGCTGTGAAAATATTGTGCCCAAATGGCTTTGTAACCTGACACAGGCAATGCAAATGTCAAGCATATTAATAATTACTAGACTGCAGGTCTCAGAAGACACTCTTGCATTCTCCTTTACGCCATCACCTCACTTCTGTAATTACCGGTATCTGTAGGAAATATCAGCTTGACCCCATTGGCATGCAGCTGGAATGAATGAGGATGATGGAACATTTAGGGCTGCCAGTAAACACAGCTAATCAAAGAGGGAGGAGTAGCAGATATTGTTTGGAATTATTGCTTGAGTTATTTTGAATTAAGGCTAGGGTCAAACTGTTGGGTGTTTCTGACAAGGAAGTTGAGTGCAGAGAGGAGCTGGGTGGCAGGCAGGGACAGGAACAAAGTTGGGAACTCCTGAACAAAATCAGTGTCTGCTGGTCTGTGACAGGCACAAAATGTGTAGGTAATCAAGAGGTCAAGAAGCTGTACTGGATTAATCAAGAAAGGCAAAGCTGAATGACAAGAAGCAGGAACTAAAATTTCTCTTGGGGAGTAAATTGCACTGACCACATAGATTACAGATGCATGGAAGTAAATTAGTGCTATGAAAGCATGAAAAATATATTAGTAATTGACAAAATGAGTAATGATACTGAGCCATAGCCAAGTATAAGTAAAGTCTGTCTGGGAAGTTATGTGTATTATCTTTTTAAATCTATTTTCTAAAGCTTCTGTGCAAATATCTATTATTCATGAATATTAAAAAAAGTAAAGATTATTTTACACTATTCAGTAGGATTGTGCCTGTTAATTTTTTCAACATATTTAATGAGCACCTGCTATGTGCTGGGTCTAGGTACGGGGAACTTATATGGATAGGACAATAGCCCAGACAAGAAACTTAGACTAGAAAGATGATAGTGTAAGTAGAAGACCATTTGAGAAGATTTCAGATATATTTTATGACTAGAGTTATTAAATTTTGTTGATGGATTAGATATTGGGAATCAAGACGGCTCCTAGAATTTTGGCTTCAAAACTGGTTGGATGGTGTCATTTGCTAAGAATAGATGGACAGGAAGAGAAACAAGCTTTTGTGGGTAGACACAGGGGAGGAGAGGATGAAAATGAAGTGTTCTTTTTTGGTTGTTAGTTTGAGTAGCCTGTTAGACATCCAAGTGATTATGTCAAATAGGTAGTTTCATGCACAAATCTGAAGCTTGGGTCAGAACTAGAGATATAAATTTAGAAGTCAACATATACGTGGCACTGAAAGCCATGAGACTGGGTAAGATCACCTAGGGAGGGAGTCTAGGTCAGTCCTGTGCAATAGAACTTTCTTCAACAATGGAAAGATTTTATGTTCATGTTGCTTACTGTCTATATGTGCCCATTGCATACTTGAAATGTGGCTAGTGAAATTGAGGAACTGAATCTTAATCTTACTTAATTTAAATTATTTTAAATTAAAGTACACACATGTGGCTAGCGTCAACTACATTGGAGAGCTCAGGATTGAGAAGAATATGGGGTCATTAACATTTAGAGGTCTGATAAAGGAGATTTAGCCAGTAAGGAAGATAGAGAAGGGAAAGCCAGGGAGATAGAAGAAAAATCAGGAAAGAGCAGTGTCCATAAAAACTAAGAGTGGAAAATGATTCAAGAGTGGGAGAGCAGTCAGCTATATCACATGCTGATCATAGCTGGGATCAGATGACTTGAAAACACATTTGTCACTGAGGATCTAAGCAAAAGCAGCATTGAATCATGGTTGTAGAAGGCAGTTGGAAATGAGAAGAAGAGAGAATGGGAGATGAAGAAAAGCAGTGTCTATAGACAATTATTTCAAATTTTTCTTTGAAGGGGAATGGAGAAATTAGATGAGAAATGAAGGAGAATTTGGAATTGAGGAAACTTATTTTTTAAGATGGGAGTTACTGGGCATATTCATTTGAATTTTATAATGATCCAGTGGAGGAAAATGGATGCAGGAGAGAAAGGGAACGAGAGTAGGAACAAAGTTCTTCAAAAGATGAAGAGGGTTGGAATATACAGCACAAGTGGAGAGGTTGGGCTTTGATAGGAGGGGGGGGACCCTTATCCCATGGTAACAGGGTATAAGGCAGGGGTATAATGCAGGTACTGGGAGGCTTACAGAATTGGTGGTGAATAGATGAGGCTGTGGAGGTATGGGATACGGAGTGTGAGAGGCTCTAGGAGAAGTTAGGAAATAATCATCTTGAAAAGTAATTGGCATATTCATCAGGATTGGTGTAGGATTTCTGGGCAGATTGGAATGCCCATTTGAAGCTTGTGATGATAAATTTAGAGAGAAATCAGTCAGCATAATTTTATGTCTTTTTCCCCACTGGAAAAGGCAAATAGTTGGCTTTAACCAAAGTTTGATTTTTGACAGGTGACTGCATTAGTGAGATAAGATTATCTCACTAATAATCTCACTCTTAAGGGAGCAGGGTCCATGGAACTTTCTCTGGACATAGTAGGAGAGTGGATGAGTAGTGACAGAATTTAAGGTCGGGATTGGAAGCCTAAAGAGGGTTGAAAAATTGCAATGAAAGAACTAGAGCCACTGAACTTTAGAGATAAGAGGTGGCGGTCAGAGGGTGGGATGCTTGAAGTCAATATTGTGTTATTACTGATAGTAGTTTTTAGGGCATGACTGTAAGAATGGCTGAAAAAGATACCCGGGCCACCCACATGGATGCCAGAGTCACTAAGGGGTGGAGAGGAAGATGAGCTCAAGTTTTTAAAAAGTTAAGAGTTTGAAAGATGATAGCAACCAAAAAGAACTTGGGGCAAAAGCGGGATATCTTCCATTAGTCCCTCAAGATTCACTCTTCTCTGTGCCATGCAGCCATGGGACCTGAAACTTATGGATTCAGTCAGCAGTTTCCTTGCTGTCTGGTTCTGGCTGAGTTTGGCCAATGGGGAGCCTCAGCAGATCTGATGTAGGGAGGCTGTGTCCCTGAACTGGGGGAGAGGGGTCTCTGCTCTTCAGCATGGCTTCTACACCTCTTTCTCCTGGGCCCCAGAGCTCCCTTTCCTTACTTCTTCAGGCCAAGGGGTGATGACAGTTCCACTGTACTAGCCCTCAGTGACTGCACTATCCCTTGTGCCTTCCTTCCCTCATTCATACCTCTGCAAATCACCCCTTTATTAAATCATCCTCAACTTAATAGAAATGTGCCATCTGTATCCTATTGGGGTGGTACAACTGCATGACAAGAACTTCAAAGGAGCTGGAGTTTTTGAAAGAAGGAGAAATAGTTTGGAAGCAGGGATGTGGACCAAGAGTTTTCCCATCTCCTGTGGGTATGTGAGAAACAAATGGCCTCCACTTGAGAGACCTATTGAGGAGTAAGTCTTCAGCTTCTGCAGGGAAGTAGAGAAATCATTCAAAATGAAGTTGAAGATACAGGGGAGGTTTGCAGGTGATAGAATAGGAGATCCAAAGTATGTTGTGAAAGGGTTTGAAGGATGGTGAGGAATTAGAGTTGGGTCGGATTAGGGGATTTTAAAAGTAACCGTGGAGATAAGAATCAGGATGATAATGGCTAGTCTGGGAGGCTTCAGGGGCTTGGAATAAGTAGGGATGAGGGCAGCCTCTCAGTTCATTTCAGTTCAACTCTATGAGTACCTAGTATGTACAGCTCACTGGGGTAGGTCCTGGTGTACAGTGGTAAGGCAATAACAGTTAATACCCTAGCAGTGACTCAACAATGAGCCTGACTATGTGAATTGCATACCTCTTAACAGGCCTCCTAGAGAAAAGCCACCCAACCCTTGCTTTCATGGGCTGTCTTGGAGTGTGGGCCACTAGGGACCCTGGCATGTAGGCACCTTCCTAACAGAGGTCAACAGTCTTCAGTCCTAATGAAGGTAGTAAAGTACAGATAAAGACTGAAGCTCTTCAAGAGCCAGGAACACCCCTTTGGTCAGCATTATGTGTGCCTGTGACAAGGTAAAGCTGGAAGGGAGTTCTTAGTCTGGGCCATAGACAGAACTGTGGCTACCAGTTCTCATGGTTGTCTGCCTTACCATTAAAGATCTTCTGGAAAGTGTAGGATAGGTGACACAAATTGTCCCAGTACAAGCCAAAACTATAAACAATACTTCTTTTTTCCTTATCAAATATACTAATAGATGTTTAAGTTGCAACCTTTTCCTGGATAAAGCCACTTGCTAGGATTCCTTGAATGCTAACCCTTGAAGGCTAAGGCCATTGTTAATATTTAATTGGCATTGACTGTGTACTTACTAGTATGCCAGGCACTTAGAACTGAATTAACTAATTTTCATAATAACCCTAATGAGGTAGACATTGTAACGATCCCATTTTTACAAATGAAGATATTAAGGTACAGAGAGATCATTTGCTCTAGGTCACAAAGCCAGGGATTGGCAGTCAGGATTCCAAAAAGCTCATACTCTTCCCTTCTACAGTATCATCAAAAGAATTTATCGTATACTTATACCAGCTGTTGTGCTATATATTAAAGAAAGGAAGATAGAAATATACTTTACTATGATTGACTTTTCCTTTATAAAATTAGAGCTAAATAGGAGGCAAAGGATTTTTAAAAAGTACCTTTTCAGGGGCACTTGCCTGGGTCAGTCGGTAGAGCATATGACTCTTGATCTAGGAGTTGTGAGTTCAAGCTCCGTGTTGGGTGTAGAGCCTACCAAAAAAAAAAAAGAAAAAAAAAGTGGCTTTTTCATTATCCAGTTAAGAATTGCTTTTCTGTTTTCTAGCTTTTTATCCAAGTGCATTCTAAAAGGATACTAGATTAAATAGACATGTCTGTCTCTCTGTCTCTCTGTATATAATCACTCTTGATTCATGCCTTGTTTAAAATAAATTTACAGAGCGATTACTAGACACACTAATTTTATTCTCTTACTTTATGTTCATTTATCTCAGGTACATCTTTCCAGATATTTATAAATTCAGCTCCAGCCCTATATACATACAAACTGCCTTATCAGTTCCAACTTTAGCAAGACATTGAAATCTTATTTAAAAATACATTCCCAGGGATGCCTGGGTGGCTTAGTCAGATGGGCGTCTGCCTTGGGCTCAGGTCATGATCCTGGGGTCTTGGGATTGAGTCCTGCATCGGACTCCTTGCTCAGCAGGAAGCCTGCCTCTCCCTCTGCTTGCTGTTCCCTCTGCTTGTGCTCTCTTTCTCTGACAAATACATAAATAAAATCTTAAAAAAAAAATTCCCAGACTGTCATGGTATCACACCACATCATACTGTTTATTAATGACAACCACAACAATAATGGCTCCTTTAATTTTCAGTTACCATATTTTCAGTTTTAGACCTATAAAGTCAGAAACAATTCTGTTTCTGCACTAAACACTGCTTGTCTTTGAATCTTGCGAGTTAATTTTCTCCTCATCCCAACCCTCCCTCCCCGCAAAGCCTCTGCCTGGCATGCCTATCAGGTCTGTCTTTTCCTCACTGTACACCTGCCCTTTCTACCCTATCTTTCCCAAATCCTTTTTTGCTGCCACAGAGCTCTTTGTCCTTGGTAGAAACACACTGATGATACCTTCTCTCTTATCAGACTATACTCTGTTCCTGTGAATTTCAGATGCATGATAAAACATGCAGACTACCATTCAGTAGGCATTTATAAACTTTCTCAACCACCTCTCACAGCCTCCTGTGAACTTAAGTACTATTATTATCCCCATTTTGTAGGTGAGGAAGTTGAGGCTTTACCACGCTAACTCATCACTGCTGCTGCTTCTTTAATTTGACTTCCTGTGGATATACTGTGGCTGGCTAGTGGCCTCAGGAATATGGTGATGTTACCTAGGGAGGGTACTTACTGCAGAAAACATCTTACATTAAGAAGAAGAGGATAAGAAGAATGAAATATGCAGATGTGCTACTTAAAGGTTAGTGTTATTTTTCTCTTGCAGCTATTGTGTACATAGTATATGAATATATTTCACCACAGCAGGTAAATAACTCTTGCTGTGCCCTTTACCTGGTTTCTTGTCTGCGTCTCCAAGCTTGATTTAATACCTTGTTCATCTTTCATCAACATTAGGTGCCCTATTTATTGTGAATCCCTTCTCAATGACAGGCTTACAGACAGGCTTGTTAATTAACCAATGACACTTTTTGATAGAAAGCTCAAATGACTTAGCTATTTCCCAGACTTAAGCTTCCCTTCTCCATACCAGTACTCCAGTGGGATCTTTGCTGGTTATATTTGTTTTGGAGTAAGTTAATAGACAACTTAAATGAACCTGAAAAAGTCTTACCACTTTGTAATACTTGATGAATATTTACCTAGGGAACTGTGGAATGCCTGTGTCTTAACTTAGAAATTTAAAAGAATCTCTGAGTTTCCCTTTCTGAACAGATGCTGTACACTGAACAAACCTCTTATGGTCGATGTCCTCCATTAATTATGCCCTTTCTTTCCTGAATCTCTAACCACTCTAACCACTGACTCTTGCCGTGTCTTTATCCTTAGCCTGTAATGCTCAAGTCTCCCCCATTAAAAAATAAAGCAGAATCAATAAAACCCTCCCTCAATCAGTGTGGCTCAGCATAACTCCTTTAAACTACCAGCCAGGCACAGCCCAACCACATGAAAATGGCACTCTAGTCTTTAACCACACCTTTATGCTTTTGCCAGAGTGTTTTTCCATTCCCAGTCTATCTTATGCAATTGGGCTTTTCTTGAAGCCTTCTGGTGAGCACAGAGCAAAGTTCTATTTCAAGTGTTGAGAGGTGGTCATCTGAGCAGGTAGCCAGGCAGCCAGTTCTTGGTGGACTCCTAACATATGGAGGTTCCTCTCAGCATGAAGAGGAAGTGTGGCCCTCTCAACACTACAGAAATAGGTATTGACTGATGCAGACCTTGCCCTAGAATGACACTGTCCTATGCATAAAGGATACCTCTATAATATACCGACCCAAAGAGTGTCTGAGTGTTTAAGAGCTTGGTTGAATTTGTGCTGACCTGACTTATTCCTGCAAAAGGAAACCGAGCCTTCCTCTGATAAAACTTGCAAATAAAGGGGAAACATTAGGTTTGCTCTATCTTAGCCAATCTTCCCTGTCAGCCACCACCATATGGTTCTGTAATAACTTTCTCAAAAGACCTAACAAACTGCCCAAGAAAGGAACTTTCAGATGCCTCCTCCCCATTTTGTTGCATTTCTTCTTAGTCTCTCGGTCTCATCGTCCCTCTCATCCTTCAGAAATATTCAACCACTTCCCACCAAAGGATACTTTATCCCTGGGTCTCTTTTTCCATATTCCAATGCCTCAGACTTAATCTGAATGAGCATCCCCCCCCCCAGTCATTTGGGACTCCAGAGGATAATGGGCTTAAGTTTCATGACTGGGTGAAGGTAAATCTCCCAGTAGTTGTTCAGTCTTTCCACCACAGTGATCTCTGTGCCATCTAAAATATAAGCACGTGTTGTAACAGCAATTATTTTCCTCAGAGACAATCCAGTCCAATCCTTTCTCCATGAAATATTGCTTTTCTTAAAAGGATTTTGGCCTTATAGTATTGGAACAAATATTGCTACTTTCTCTGGCACTTTAAAGAAACAGCACCAACTTTAATTAGACTTTAATAATTCTGGGTCTCTTTTTATGGGAGTTTGGGATGGCAGGGAGTCCTATTTTCAGTGTAATCTGCCAAACAAAAATGCCCAAAGTTTATGTTCTATTGTTGCTGCTTCATGTCCCTTTTGTCCATTCATATTTATGGATTTATTGCCCCCCTCCTTTGATATTTTAAAGAGGGGGGGTTTTGCCCAAACTCCAGCTATGCCGAGATATTTTGGGTCCTTCATTTCCACACCCAGCTTGGATACCCTGATTGTCTGATGAACAAGCCATCTATCCAAGCAGAAGTGCAATTACTGACTATGAGACTGGAGGTAGGTAGAGGCACTGCCTCTGGAGACCCCAAGACCCCATGACTATAGGATGCAACCACCATATCCAGGAGTGGTTCCCAACTTTGGGAGAACTTGACCAGCCTAAGGTGCAGAGCACTCTGCTATGCCAGCTGTTCCAATTACGCATGATACATATGCTAGGCAGCTAGAACTGGGCCACCCTAGTCTCTAGAACCTGATACCCCAACTTGGTCCCTGGAGGCTGCTTCTCATCTTAGTCTATTTGCAAGTGGAGCTAGTCATAACTAGTTACCATCTTATCTCTTTTTTCCTAAAAACTCAGTGTTCTTAAAAGAGACTAGTTCAGGGGCACCTGGGTGGCTCAGTGGATTAAGCCTCTGCCTTTGGCTCAGGTCATGATCTCAGGGTACTGGGATCGAGGCCCACATTGGGCTCTCTGCTCAGCAGGGAGCCTGCTTCCTCCTCTCTCTGTGCCTGACTCTCTGCCTTACGTGTGTTTTCTCTCTCTCTGTCAAATAAATAAATAAAATCTTAAAAAAAAATTAAAAAAAAGAGACTAGTGCATGTTTGCTATCTCATTTTTCTTTGTTCATTTTCATTTCTTAATTTGCTGCATTCTAGCTTCTCCTATAGTTATTCACCAGTAACCTCTAGATTTTCAAGTCCAAAGAGCATTTCCTGTCCTAGCCTCTCTTGTCTTCTCTCAGGCAAGTGAAATTTTTTTCTCCCATTGACTTTCATTACTCCATTTTCTTCTGGTTCTCCTCACATCACTATTATTCTGTTTTGATATCCTTCTTAGTTTTTCTTTCTCTTTCTGCTTCCCTTAAAAAAAAAAAAAACTTATGAAACATATTTAGAAAATGCTAGAAATACGGGGCGCCTGGGTGGCTCAGTGGGTTAAAGCCTCTGCCTTTGGCTTGGGCCATGATCCCAGGGTCCTGGGATGGAGCCCCGCATCAAGCTCTCTGCTCAGCAGGGAGCCTGCTTCCTCCTCTCTCTCTGCCTGCCTCTCTGCCTACTTGTGATTTCTATCTTTCGAATAAATAAATAAATAAATAAATAAATCTTTTAAAAAAAAGTGCTAGAAATAATAAAGTGGAAACTTAGGTAGCCATCAGCTAGATTTTCCCTTTCTTGTATTCTTTTTTCATACTGCCATTCTCTTTACCTCTAAGAAACAAAATCCTTATTTACCCCGTTTTGGTCTTTCTATCTCTGAGGGTTCTTAACCTGGGGAATCTTTTCTTCTTACTTCTCGTGGCAGATGAATGGCTGCCACCGTGACATCTGTCCTCCTCCGTCTGGTGCATGTTTGCTCAGCTGGAGACTCCTTGCCCTTCTTTACAGCTAGGTATGATTTTGTGGGGACATTCTTGCCAGTGCACTGTAACTAGAAGCAGTGAGTATAACTTTGGCCTTACCTTTGCAAAAAAAGACAGCTTGTCTTGCTCTGCTTGCCATCTCCTTTATGGATGTGTCTGTAACCATATGTAACCGTGGAGATGAGGAAGACATCCTAGGAGAGGGTGGGACAATAAGACAGAAGGAATCTGGGTCCTGAATGACCTCATCAAACAGAGTGCCCTGTCAGTCTTGGCCCAACTATTATGTGAGAGGGAAAAATGCTTTTGTCTTCTTTATTTTCATTTCTTTACTTCCACTTCCACTGCTTTCTGGGATCTCAATTACAGTGAGTTAGCCTTTACTCTAATACAAAAATTGATACCTGGAAATGGGGGACTTCTAACAAAGTCTTAAAACGTATAGCATTACCTAAGTGGTCAGACCATTACCAACAAGGAACGGGCTCTTGCAGGCTGGGAAACTAGTCATTCTTGTAGTGCCATTGCAAGATATTTGGTAACAATCTCACCTCAATTTGGAAGACTGATCATGTTTCTTATATCACTGAATTTTACGGGAAGCATTTGGAAAGAACCAGAGTATGAATGCAATTCTTGCTTGTTGGCTAGTTTAGGAAGGGTTTTTCAGGAAAGAAATGAGCTCACATAAGAAATGATGGGTTTGCAAGGAAAGATGGAAGAAAATAGAGTGTATAGAAAATTGGGGTTAGAAAATCCAATTATTTCTATGGTCCAAATAGGAGAAGACTGTTTTTCAGACACTTAAAGCCCATCCATTAAGATTCCTCAGCTGAAGAGATCTAGCCTTGCAGCAAAGGTCAGATTAGCGATGTTACCCTCACTTAGTTTTTAAAGATTACCTGAAAGTAGCCACCATTAAAACAATGAGAAGAGGAAGGAGTAAAGCATAGATATTAGAGAATAAGAAAGTTTAAGAGCTCGGTCCAGAAAAGAACTTTGGGTATAGTTTCTGTCACATGTAATAGACTGGAGATGAATAGCATAGAAGCCTACAAAGGTTTTGAGGAAATTGTACTGCTAAAGAAACCAGAAATCTGACCTGCAAACTGCAAAAGCCAATCATTGTGTCCTCAAGCCATTTCCAGGAAAGCATACTCTCCCAATTTTCACTTAAATTTTGAACCTGGAAGATAATGGACAAGGAGGAATCTCCCAGAGTGTGTAAACCCAGGGGTACTGTGGGTATACCCAGACACATCCAGATGGGCTAATCAGGAAATTTCTTCCATGGCCAAGGCAAGAATTTCTTCCTAGAAAGAAAACTATGAAGGACTGCTGATTGTTGCATGTTTCCCATTCTGACCTTTTAGAAATGGAAGTTTTTATTGTGGTTAATTGTATTCCTGCTCTACCATTGCATATTGGGTTGAGTGTGGGCATCAAGTAACTTCTTTTTAGTTTATAATAATTGGACTATATGTAGCCACATCTAGACATAACAGAGAAGGCTGTACTTTCCCCAGAGATACTGGCTTTGAGCTGGCTACAGAAACTGGATAGGCCCACAGATGGTCTCTTAGAGAGAGAGGTTGAGATACATGGGAATAAGAGAGCACTCAAACAGTTGGGTAGTCTGAAAACAAAACAAAACAGTTGGGTAGTCTGAAGGATTGAGTG